ACTAAAATACCTTCAATATTTTTCCTATATAAATTCTCATACATACAGTACACATTTGCTTGAGTGTATAAATAAAATAACTTTCTGTTTGTTTGCCCATTTTCAATTATTAATCATCGCAATATATTTGGATTATGACGGCCGTGCGTTCGTTCGTGTCTGAGCATTCTTCATACACCGCCAGCACCGTTCATGTTATTGCAAATAATTAATTAATAATTTAAGTTTGTGCGCAAAATATGTATGCGAGTGTATTGGCAAGCAAATGAGGTGTGCAAATAATTTATCAGCATTAAAAAATTGTCAATTGGTATTAAAAAGCTTACATTTTTTCCCAAATAACAACATATATTAAATACTAGCAGACCCGGCGAACTTCGTCCCGCCCAAAATTTTTATATATTTTATTGAAACTTTTTGGTCCAACATTTTCACCAACAATTCACGTTTACGATTTTCATTGGCACATTTGTCTGCTAAGATTAAGGTTTGGTGGTCATTTGCCGCTTTAAATAACCTAAGGAAAGTGTTATATCCGTTCTTGAAATTCTCCAGTTGTGCGGCATTTCATAGCACGGTTATTCGCAAAGCGAAATAAATTTTTTCCTCTTCACTCCCTGGCGGCAACAATGACCCGGTTCTATAGTGAATGTCCTAGAAGCTTTACAGTATAGTAGGTGGCAATTTCAAAATGGGTGCGAATCATTGTTCTACAGAAATGCAATATACATATACTTATTTCAGACGAAATACCTTAAAAGTTTGAACGCATAATAATATTGGAAAATCACATCCATTGGGCCAATTGCAACGCAGGACCGTCGATATACTCAATGGTGCAACAGGTCGATTTAATCTGACCTTCACGGCCCCTTTTCTCACTTGGCTATTTTTAGTAATAGCTCGACTTCAGCACCACTTGGCAGCACGTTTTTGCAATAGTATTGCATACATATTTAAAACATTAGCCAAATCGGATCATAAATAAGATTTTTAGTAATAACTCAACTACAGCGCCAACTGTCGGATTAAATTGTGAAACTAAACCATCCAGAGACCCACTCAAATACACAAAAAGTTTCGTTAAAATCCGTACAACCATTTAGGAGGATTTCACTCACAAACACACCTACAGAAGAATAAAAAAATTCATTCAAAGATAGCTAAAGGTCGGTACGTTTGTAGGCCTCACACCCCTTTTCAAATAGCCCAAATTTTCTCTATGAGTATAGGCTTGATTTCAACTATATACATATCTCCATACGAAGTTCCAGTACTGTACCATGAATACTTTCAGAGATATGCAGTATAAAAATTCGATTTATATGGGAGGTGCCACGCCCCCCTTTCCAAGAGCTGCCCTCTTTCTTCATGAGTATGCGATTGATTTCGTATATCTCCATACCAAGTTCCAGAACTCTACCAAGAACACTTCCAAAGATAGGCAGTATGAAAAATTCGGTTTGTATGGAAGATGCCACGCCCCCTTTTCCAATAGTTCCAATTTTTCTCCAAGAGTATGCGATTTATTTCGTACATCTCCATACAAAACTCTAGAACTCTACCAAAAAATTTCCAGAGATAAGCAGTATGAAAAATTCGGTTTGTATGGGAGATGTCACACCCCTTTTTACAATAGCTAAAATTTTTCTCCAAGGGTATGCGATTGATTTCGTATATCTCCATACCAAGTTCCAAAACTCTACCATGCACACTTTCAGAGATATGTAGCATGAGAAATTCGGTTAGTATGGGAAGTGCCACGCCCCCTTTACATATAGATTTTTTTCAGCCTAAAACCATCCTTGGGAACGTGCGGCAGGTGGCAGTTTCAAAAAAATCGGTTCAGCCGCTCTCGAGCCTTGCGAAAACTAACAAACGGCTTTCTAAATAAATATTAGTTGAGATATATTATATATTATAATTATATTTTGACAGTATCCGTTGTTTCAGATTGTCGCAAAAAAATCTTGCCTAGTGACGAATATGCCCCTTGATATGGTCGTTACTTAAAGCTATTTATATTCGAAATTGCATGAAAATTGGAAAACAGGAATCTATAAGCTTATCCAGGCAAAAAGCTACCGACGTACTGAATTTTGACCATAAATACGATTTCTTCGAACAGATCGGTCCCTGGTCCACTTCTCGGACAAAATGGATCATATATGCTTATATATGCTAAAAAGCTACTTACGTACTAAATTTTAAGCACATCGGACTATAGTAAGATTTTTTCGAATAGACCGGTCCCTGGTCCACCTACCCGAAGAAAAGTAAAATTTTTTTAGCCTAAAACATGGTGGTTACCGAAAGCTATTTGTATACAAAATTTCATGAAAATCGGACCAGCCGTTCGCGAGATTACCTGTTACAAAAAAAAGGGACTTCTCCTTATATAATTAGTATAGATAGATATGTACATATGTATAGTAAACATACATATTTATTTATTTCTTACAGCTTTATTAAGCTTAGCTTATACATATTCCTTAAAATCTATGTATGACTTATAGCCTAAACTAAAATATGTATGTACAAAGTAAAAGCTTATATGGACCCCCCCAATATTAGTGACTGACAATGTTGCTGACTTCCAATCATCTTCATATCAAAGCAATAAATCGTAATAAAATCCTCAATCCATCTTAGTTCTGTACCAGCGGTACCTATACAACTAAACAACTACTTTAGTAACAGCTTTTGGTCAATTGTCACAAAAGCACGTTTCAAATCTAGGAAAACAGCTACAATATGTTTGTTTCTACTCAAGTCTACTTTCCAATTAGCAATAAGCAAATCTAAAGCACTTTCACAGGAATGTCTTTTACGGAAACCAGATTGCTGTGGGATAATAATTTTGTTATCTTCTAAACGTCATTACAGTCCCTTCTTTGTAAAGCCATGTTGTACAGACTCAATTTATGTTTGTTGAGGTTAGATATAACTCAAAATCGTACCACTTATTCATCAGTTTCTCGCTGATTTCTTTCGAATACAATAGAGTGTTCATTGCATTTGCTATGATGTTACCTAAGAACGTAACCTTATTGTCAATACTATGGTTCTCGAAATTACAAAAGTTAAATTGTCTTAATATGTTAACAAGACTATCACTAGCATAGTATTCCCAAGAAGTTATAGTTTTTCTAGCTCTCATCTGAAATATCTTTTCCAACTTGATTTTAAAATATATAGTTTCATGATCAGTAATTCGATGTTCTTAAAATTTTTCACAAGAAATGGATTCGCTGTTCGTAAATAAGAGATCAATCATTGTTACAGTGTGATCACCTTTTCTTGTATAAAAATCTATGTTTTGATGCATTGCAATAGATTGAAATAAGTCCACTAGATGTTTACTGCAGGTCGTTGTTTTGTATAAATTTATATCAAAATCACCAATAAAGACTATGATTGTGTTAAACAATTATTATTTAAGATTTCGGGTAGGTATGCAATAGCATCTGCATCACTCGAGCTAGGTGAATGGTACAGCATATTGATATTGGGGAAATATATTTTTAATTTTTAATAATAAACACCAGACATTTATATTAAAAGTGTGTGTAAGTCTATTGTATATTCCATCGATTCGTGTATATATACTAATACACCGCCCATATGCCTACTGTGAGAGGTTTTATTTTTTGATTGAGTATGTTTTTTATATGCTGGTCAGTCTATACTGAAAGCATAATTATGTTGGCTAACCCTGGGATTCAGTAAGCAGTCTCGAGTCACTATTAGTGCCTTTTGGTGGTGAATATGGATTTTGAGACTATTTGGTATTCTAGAGTAAAATAAAGTCACTAATTAGTCAGCTGGCTCTGAGCTGGCCACAAAAAAAAAAGGAGGAAAAGATAATTGAAAATGAAGCGAATAATTATTTGTTCAGCAACAATTTCATTAGGAAATAAACCAAAATGCTTTACTATCATAAAACGTGTTAGCAAAAAAATAAATATAAAAAAAAAATAAAACTAACAAAAAAAAAGAAAAAAAAACGAAATAAAAAATAAAAAAAACCTCTGCGCCCGAGGAGAACCTGAACCCGGGTCTCTTCAGCGGCAGCTTAATGCTTTGACCATTCGGCCATTTCCAATTTTGGAGCACTGCGGGCAAAAGGCATACATACATAAATGCTATCCGTTGCCTATTTGCGTTTGTCTTCACCACACATTTTTGTTGAACTTTTTGTGACTCTTCCCTACGGGTATAGCTGGTCTCAAATGAGACTGAATACCAGGGTAAGTGCTTCACACAAACTAAGCTAATAGTTTCTGATAAAATAAATAAAGGGAAAGAAGCGAATGAAAAATATTTCCGCACCATGCTGTTGCATACTCAAGGCCTGTTGTAGGGTTAATGAAAATTTGAATAAGCGTACTCACTGCGAAAGCTTTTTAGTCACTACACAAACCCAAATGCGGCTCTTCTTTGCGGCAAGATGGCGCTGTTAACAGCAGACGAGAGCAAAAACTTAGCAGTTGTTTTGTGGAAAAGCCACTCAGCGTCATAGACGGAACGAATGACGAGGCTAATCACATCCAAAACGTTGCAGTCCAATAAATTGTGTTATTAGCTAAGGAAAGAGAAACTAGTCGGACATTTGCCAATTATGCCTTTGCTAGTACCAGAGGCGTGTGATTTTTGTTTAAAGTTTAAACATTTTTAGAATTTTATAAATTACTTACAGAGCTAGGGAACTTTTACTAAGAAGTGGGGCTACAATTCATCGCAATATTTAAATGCCGGTATTTACCTATCAAATTTAAGTATTTGTGGCAAATATTTTAATTTTGATTAATTTTTTTTGAACTGATAAAAAGATCTTGGACATATAAACGAAGAGAATTATAGAATTGAATTGATACATATTTTCATTAATTAATTTTTGTATTTATGAATCTCGTTTATATATATTCCATCAGGGACATTTAATTTAATTTAATGTAATTTAATTTCATTTCCCTCAATTTTATTTAGTTTCATTTCGTTCAAATACAAATACTCATCTCTACAAAATAGTCCACTAAAATTTACAACTCCCTCCAAAATCCGCTGCACTTGATTAACTTTAATCAGGTGAGAAAGAATTCCAACATGTTGGTGAGTCGCCTCACACTCACATAGTTAACCAAGACCACATAGGCGTAGACGGTGTAAATATAGGCCCACGCCTGGAAGTGAAGATGCCGGGCGGCAAACGTTTTGCCATTGATGTGTTGCAAGTGGATGTGCCGCGATTCGCTCAGCAGGCGTCGCATCACCGCGCCGCTCAAGTAGACGATGCTCATCAAAAGAATGAGGCGCCGAAGATGAACCAGCAAAATTGCCATCTGCTCAGCAGCGCACCACACACACAAAGTACCTATGAGTGAGAAGATAAATCGCACACAACACAGAAGCAGAGAGGATGAGAACAGCGGCAATGCAGATTTTTGGCTAAAAATATAAACAAAACAAAATTAAATGAACTCAGTTGCTGAAATCGAACAGAAAGGAAAAATATGAGAAAATTCGAAATGAATGGCGACCGAATATTGCGACAATCGGATGGACGCAATAGCACAGCAGGAGACTAAGGTCGATGTTATGCAGAAATTTTGTTTGGCAAACTGCGTGCAATTGTTGTTGCAGCAAACTCGGAGAGAGCGAGTTTGGCGACTCTCACAGCAAACTAATTTTGTTTGGTCAAACTGCAGCAAATTCGGTGTTGTCATATACAAAAATTTTAAATTTTGCGCGTTATGTACATCTGAAATTCTCATTTCGTGTTGGCAATAGCCATGAAAACCATAATGAACGTGCAACCCTGTGCCAAACTCGACATAACCACCTCCGAGCAAACTAAGCAG